CTGGGAAATGTCAGGTTAAGGCCACACCCATGTTCATGGCTTGGGAAGCTTGCAAGGGGACCCCACTTGCTGAAATAAGAGATGCAGGAAGAACAGACAGATGGCCTTAGTTCTTTGGGGAGATGTCCATGTTACCAAATATTGGCCTGGAGAGCTGGAACTGGTAGAGAAGGCCCAGGTGAGGGGCTCTTTGAAAAGTCAGAGATGGGGTGTTTGACTGCAGCTGCCTGTAGTAAGTGTAGGAAATGATCACTCTGCTGTAGAAGGATAGATAAAATGCTTCTAGCCCCAGGGACCTTATACCTCAGCAAATTCCTTTTCTACAGCAAGCTGCCTCATACCCAGCCAGATGGCACCAGCGTCCCTGGAGAGCCAGCCTCACCCATCTCCCAGCGCCTGCCACCCAAGGTAGAATCCTTGGAGAGTCTCTATTTCACCCCTATCCCTGCTCGGGGCCAGGCCCCGTTGGAGAGCAGCCTGGACTCCCTGGGGGAAGCCTTCCTGGACTCGGGCCGTAAGACACGCTCCGCTCGCAGACGTACCACACAAATCATCAACATCACCATGACAAAGGTCAGGTTGCTGGGGCTGGGGCTGGGGGATAGTAATGCGTACTTCCTCTCAGTGGCATCTTTCCATCGGGTCCTCAGGTACAGGCAGGGATGACCAGCCAGTCATGTGGTACAGATGGGAAAGATCTCGAAGTCTGAGCTCTTGAGGACAGTGACTTGCTTAGGGCTGCCTCTGTGGGAAAGGCAGTGCTGGAATTAGCCTGTCTTCTGACTGGAAGGCTGGTATCCTCCCATGTGTGGTGCTGGTTCTGTGCATGTTGAACGGTTAGGAATAGGGGGAAGTTGCAGCCCAGCCACTGAGCAGACAAATGCCAGGCTTAGGGTTCTTGCCTTTGATTTTGTCTCCGGGAGGAGGAAAAGAAAGGGAGGTGCCTTTGCTGCAGCATAGAAAGCCTCTTTGTGCCGGGTGCTTTCTGCTACCAAAAAGCTAGAGAAATTATGGAAGATAGCAGAGACCCCAGGTACCTTGGACTGAGCGACCATAGACGCTATGGCCAAGCCTGACTGCTAGTTTAAGAGCCACTTCCTAGCTGAGCTTCTTAGCTCACATCTTTACGGGTCACTTCTGAAATGAGCTTTCCTCCTTCAGAGTGTTGTTAATAGACTTAAGTGACCAAAACAGAGAAGTCTTGACAGTCATAGCACTCTGTGAGGGCTTCTGGCAATAAGGAGACACGTGAACTCAGGACCCTTGTCCACGAGTTTGGGAACACACGCACCCATGCCATGGAGTCTGAGCAATTTTGGGGGGACCAGGAGGTGGCTTATTCTGTCAGGGCCCCCTAATCTCTGCACCAACTCATTCTGTCTTCCAGAAGTTAGATGTGGAGGAGCCAGACAGCGCCAACTCGTCTTTCTACAGCACACGGTCTGCCCCTGCTTCCCAGGCCAGCTTGCGAGCCACCTCCTCTACCCAGTCTCTTACCTGCCTGGGCTCTCCTGAGGTTGGTAACTCAGCTCTACTCAGCCTGCCTGGCTACCGGCCCACCACTCGCAGCTCTACTCGCCGATCCCAAGCTGGGGTGTCCAGTGGAGCCCCACCAGGTAAGGGAACTGTAAGGACTTAACTACATCCAGAAATTTGACTGGAACTGGATCCAGACCCATAGAAGAAAAGCTTAAAAACCACGACCAGGGATAGTCATGCTTTGGGCTTGCACAAAAAGCATGACCATCCATCCTCCCTTTGGTCTCAGGGCTTTGCCTGTCCTCCTAGGGTTGTGCTGAGGTACTTTGCACCCAAGATACTAACAGGGCCTGAGAGGCCTGGCATGGTAGTGACACCTGTCCTCAGGTGGCGATGGAATGCTGGCTGGGCCCCTGCATTGCTTCCTGGCTTTCGTTTAGATTCTGTTGATATGGGGCACACCAGCCCTCAGTTGGGGAATAAGTTGTGGTACTTTGCTTGGCTATGACCTCCTCTGACCTCTGCCAGGAGACAGCTGTGAGAGCCTGTATGATAGAAATGGTCTGTGGGCTCTAGTGCTGTGCCCACAGCACTGAATTACAGTGGGACTGGTACAGCACTTACAGTCCCTCGGTTAGGAAGAAGGCAGTTGTGGCAGCACAGTCTGGCAGGATCCAAGGGCCACTGGGCAGCCTGCTAGCCCAGCCTCACCCCCTTTTGTTCTTTTTTTTTTTTTTTTTTTGGTCTTTTTCCTTTTTATCAGTACCAGGGATCGAACTCACGACTGCCTGCTTGCAAGGCAGGCGCTTATGCTGCTGAGTTAAATCCCCAGCTCCCGCCCCATTTGTTCTTACACTCCTACCTCTCCCAGGAAGGAGCAGCTTCTACATGGGCGCTTGCCAAGATGAACCTGAGCAGCTGGATGACTGGACCCGGATCGCAGAGCTGCAGCAACGCAACCGAGTGTGCCCCCCGCACTTGAAGACCTGTTATCCCCTGGAGTCCAGGGTGAGCCCTGGGTCATCTCCTTCTTTGGCTTTTCACTTCAGTGCCACCTGCACTGACCACTAGTGCCTGGGTCTCTGGCCTGCTGAGCTTACCAGGTGAAATAGCCAGCAGCTGCAGAGGCCAGGAGCTTGGCGAGGAGTGTGCCCAGAACTGCTGGCCATTCGTTCAGGGTGTAGGTGGAAAGACCAGGAAGGGAGGCCTTTTAAGGTAGGGATCTGGCTGCTGCAGGCGTCAGGCACCAAGAGAGATCTGAGGTAGCTGTGCCTGCTCTATCTGCGTACAGCGGGGCTGCACTGACTGCTGCTTCTGCCCATACAGCCCTCCCTCGGCCTGGCCACCATCACAGATGAGGAGATGAAAACCGGAGACCCTCGGGAGACCCTGCGCCGAGCCAGCATGCAGCCAGCCCAGATTGCTGAGAGTGCTGGTATCACCACACGGCAGCAACGTAAACGGGTGTCCTCAGAGACCCACCAGGGTCCTGGCACCCCCGAGGTAGGTAGTGCCAGCTCATAAGTCTAAGAAGTGGGGAAGTATGGGGCTGGGGGTTTAGCTCAGCGGCATAAGTACCTGCCTTGCAAGCAGGCGGTCGTGAGTTCGATCCCCGGTACCAATAAAAATGAAAAAGATAAAAAAAAAAAAAAGAAGTGGGGAAGTTTCCAGGGGCTGTGAGGGGACAGGGCTGTGGGAAAGGGGAGCCTCTGCTGAGTTGGGGAGCAGGTAGACTGTATGCCCGCTCAGCTTGCAGAAGCCAAATTGCTAGCCTCGGATGTGATGTCTTCCTTACAGTCTAAGAAGGCCACCAGCTGTTTCCCACGCCCTATAACTCCCCGGGACCGACATGAAGGGCGCAAACAGAGCACTACTGAGACCCAGAAGAAAGCAGCTCCAGCTGCTCTTAAGCAGGTTAGACTGGGGTGGAAGGGAACAAAGGAGCCTTCCCAGCAGAGGCCTGGAGCAGCACGCTGGCCTGGGCTTCCTGTTGACACACGCCCCACTCCCTAGGCTGATCGGCGCCAGTCAATGGCTTTCAGCATCCTCAACACACCGAAGAAGCTAGGGAATAGTCTTCTTCGGCGAGGAGCCTCAAAGAAGGCCCCAGCCAAGGCCTCCCCCAACACCCGCAGTGGAACTCGCCGTTCTCCACGTATTGGCGCCTCCACAACCAGTGCTGCCACTGCCACTCCTCGGGCCAAGGGCAAGGTAGGGGCACTGGCAGGGAAGGGAAATCCAGTGAAAGCACAGATATCCCCAGATCACCCATGGGGCAGCATCCAGTGATTGGAGAGGAGACAGGTGACGTCATTCCCAGTAAGCACATCTAGCCCTGGGCAACCTGAAGCTGTATGTGTCCAGGTTAATAAAGGAGGGGGGATGTATCAAATGTTTGGCAGTAAGAAGGATTTTTCCGTGCTCACTGGAACAAGGCCTATCCAGCCATGTGACTGTCTCTCATCTCTTTCAGGCAAAGCACTAAAGGGTCAGTGGCCCCACCTGTGTTCCCAGCGCTGACCTCGCCTGGTCCCTTTCCTTCTGTCCCTCTCAGTGCCTTCTCAGCTCTCAGGCCAATGGTGGCCAAACCCCTAGAGACAGTGACACCTACCTACACCCTGGCCTGGTACCTGGACCTTCCCTGGTGCCTTCTCTGGCATATTCTCAGAGCTGGCCCAGGAGGCTTGCAGCTTGGACAGTGTGGGACCCTCTCCCTACCTTGCCTCCTGATCTGACCTTGGAGCTAAAGTCACTTCTCCATCATAACCAGATTTGAGGCTGGCTGTGAGTGGCTGGAACCTTGGGCCCAGCCAGTCTTCCTCTCAGCTTCTGGATCTAGAAGGGACCACTGGAGGAGCAGGCTCCGGTTCCTGCAGCTGGTGGCTCGGCCTAGCAGAGGCCCTTACTCTTGAAGCCCAGGACTGGGCGTGACCTGGTGTGAGCCCATCCCACCTCCTTCCTTCCACCCAAGGGCACAGCTGTCCAGAGGATGGCAGGATAGATAGGTCCTGGATCTTGGGGCAGGGGGCAGCCTTCAGTAGCAGCTCATACCCCACCTTCCCCAGACCTGCACTAGGGTGGGATCTGGAGTAATGGGAAGGTTTTTAAGGGCTGGGGATGGAGGACCTTTTCTAAAATATTACTTGTAAATAAAGTCTATTTTTCTCCCTGGAGTGTTGAGGTGCCTTGAGCTACACAGGAAAAGTGGGAAATTTAGGCTGTTTTAAGCCTTTGTCTCTGAAGAGTATTCAGACCACCTAGTTTCTCTCATCCTTGGCTTGGGGGGGCGGGGCAGGGACTGGACTGTGTTTCCACCAGGATTTTCCCACAGCCCATTTTTTAGCTCCGTTCCTGAGAACTGTGGGTTGGTTTTCTGGTTTTTGTTTTTTATTTGAGAACCCAAGTTCTCCTGAATCTGGTTTGGCTTTGGCTGGCTTTTAAGTGGCAGTCCCTGTGCCATCCTCCCTCCTAGGATGGGCACAGTTCCTCTGAGTGAAACAAGGCCTAAATGACTGCAGATATCCAGATGCCGCCACAAATCCTTTATGAGGCCTCAGCTCAGGCCCTCCTGAGAATGAGACACACTCGGGGATCAGAAGCATCCACTGCCCCTTCTCTGGGACAGTTCTTCATTTCTGAGAAAAACTACAGTGTGAGTTAATGCAGCGTGTGGATGTCTCTTCTGCTTTCAGGCTTCACCTGTTGTGGTGGGGAACAAAGTGAACAAAGGGCTGGAGCGAGAGCTGTCCAGGAGTAAGGAAAGATCACTGTAGGCCTCTGGGGTCAGGCTGGGAATACAGGCAGGGCCTTTGTGTGCCAGGCTAAGGCACTGACGGGGCTTGAGGTTCCTGAGCAAGACAGCAACGTGAACAGAGCAGGACTCTAGCAGAGTTATGGGGCAGGCAGGAAGGCAGGCAAGAGGGTGAAGCGCTAAAGGGCAGTTCACGTGCACACAAAGGGACTGCTCGCCTGCGTGGCCGGCCGCTGTAGGAGACATCGCCTTCCAGGCAGGCAGTGGGACCCAGGCTCTGCTTGAGGTCATGCTGTTGCTGGCCTGTGCTGATTCTTGAGCCTGCTGATGTGGGCAGCAGGGACCCTGGGCTGTGGCCAGAAGGCAGGGCTTGTTGAGAGGGCAGGCCTGTCTTCAGCCCATCCTGGAGAAATGAAGGCAGATAGGATTCAGAGCCAAGAGGGGAAGGACATCTGATCACTCTTCTCCAGGCTGTGCCTCCCCTGCCAGAGTTCAGAGTTCCTTTTTGCTTACACTTCAGATTGGCCTTCGGTGGGTGGGGGGGCATTAGCTTAATGGCTGCCCTGGCAGGGTCCACCCTTTCCTCCCACACAGAAGTGGAGCTGCTCTTGTCCCTGGAGGTCTCCCTTCCTCACCCAGAGCTGGGCCAGGAGGATGTGTTGGTGGGCAACCTGTCCGGGATCCGCAAACACACAGGAGAAGTTGGTACTTCGCAGGGCCGGGCTCAACTCCTCCAGCACCAAGGCCTTCCACAGCCGGGTGCCCTTGCTCCCACGCTGCCGCACATGGCTGCAGCAGGGAAGGGAAAGTGGTGAGGGCTGTGGGGCGAGGTCTCCCTCCCCGTTCCATATGCGTGACCCTCACCTGGTGCTGCACTCCCTCAGCTGGCCTGGGAGGTGCTCAATGAAGGAGCCATTGCCCAGCCAATAGAGGATGCTGAAGTGAGAGAAACGGCTGCAGGCCATACAGGACAAGGTCAGCGTTCCATCTGGGGACACATGGCTATTAGCCCTACTTGGAAGGCCCTCCGTGCATGCTTTCGTGGCACATATACTAGAACAGGCCCTGCCCGCTGCCCTGCCTGGTCACCACGGCCTATGGCACCCCTGGGCACTCCACCCGTCCGTTAAAGGGAAAGTGCAGAGGCTGAGGCCTGAGCATGGGGAATCTGGGGAAAGGGCCTTGTTTCATGTCATGATGCAGGTTCTGAGCCTTTTCCTCAAGATAACCTTTTCTAGCCAGTTTAGCTCAGTGGCAATAAGCACCTGCCTGGCAAGCACAAGGTCATGAGTTCTATGCCCAGTACCAAAATTAAAAAAAAAAAAAAAAAAAAGATAAACCTTTTCTAGTGCTTAGCCTGATTCTAGAAGCCCATGCCAATAGGCAGCGTGAGCAGTCTGATGTTCCCAAAATGGTCAGGGGACAGGCAGGCCTGGGCAGAAGGCTGACCCTGGAGAACATAGCCAGTGAGGCCCTCAGATGTTCTGAGCATCTTTCCTGTTCAACTCTCCTTTGATGGGGATCATCTTTGGCACTAGGTCCTGAGCCCACACCCATGACCCTGGGTTAGGGGAACTCAGCCACCTGGCTGGAGGCTAACACATGGCAGGTGGGAGGTGCACCTGGGAGCCAACCCACCCCCCGACCTGTCCTGGGCTCCAGACGTCACTGCTCCTTACTCAGTGGCACTTCCACCTCTGGCCAGGTCACTTCCAGTGCTGGGCACGACTCAGGTGTTGGGAGCGCTGGAGGTGAGGGAGGGCAGGGGTCCTTTGTGATCGCAGCTGAGGCAGTGGTAGCTGTGATGGTCTGAGATGCAGGTGTGGCGCTGGCCAGGAGATTGATGGTGTGGGAACACAGAAGCAGGACCCCCAAAGAGAAGTCTGAGGAAAGGACAAAGAGGTCAGCAGGTGACAGTGGCCTGGCAATGCTGGGATCTCAGCCCTTAGCTTGAGCAGTGTTGGTGCCTAGTCAGGAGTACAACTCCAGCCCACTGATTCCTGGGCCTTGGGCAAGAATCAGAGGACCCCCAGCCCTGACCCTTCAACCTTCTGAGAAGAGGAGAAAGAAGCTGGGAAGGGACTAGGTGGGGCCTTCGCAGGGCAGGGCTCAGGTCCCCTGGCACCAGGCCCTGATGGAGCAGAGAAAGTTACAGTGGTAAGGAGACTAATACCGCTGAGCTCGGCTGGGGTGAAGGCAGAGATAGCCCATTACTCCATTCTGCTCACAGAGCCCACACCACCACCACCACCCATGCACAGCCCCATGTCTCACCTGGTGTCCATTTCTGTCCCATGGTCATGATGCATGTGTCTGGAGCTGGTAGGCCTGGCTCTATATATCTGTGACTCGACTTCCTCTAAGCCTGAGAAAGGGGAAATCGACTCCTCTTCCCATTTCCCCCCAGAGGTCTGAATACTAAGTGGCTGCCAGGCCTTTCTGTTTATTCTGTGTGTCACTCCAAGTCCCTAAGGACAGGCCTCCAGCACAGGTCAGAACAACAGCCCCCTACACCCCAGGTCTTAGTATAATAGTCACCTCACCCTGTGTGACCCTCTCATTAGGGACATTCTTATTAGAGAAACAGGTCCAAGGAAGGCCAGGGACTTACCTAACTATACAGGAAGGTGATGTTCTCGCCCATGGGCAGAGCTCATTCTGGGAAGGGCAGGATGCAGCAAACTCCTTCTGGGAAAGTACTGCCCGCCTCCCATTTCATTTTCACTTTTATTCTTTCTCTTTCATTCCTTTCTGCCCTTCCCCCGGTACTGGGGACTGAGCCCAGGGCCTCACACATGAGGCAAGCACTCTACCGTAACCAAGTTACCTCCCAGCCCTCATTTTTTATTTTAGAAGAGACCTCACTAAGTTGAGGTACATCCCCAGCCCTCAGATTTTAAGTTTTGGGACAGGATCTCACTAAGTTACCAGGCTGGCATCAAACTTGAAGTCCCCCTCTTCAGTCCCTGGAGTAGCTGGGATTGCAGGGCTGTGTCACAGTGCCTGGCTCAGGGCCACTTTTGTTCTAACCAGAGAATTCAGAGCAGGCACTGACAGGGAAGATGATCGTCAGTTAATGCTCACAGTGGCCAGAAGCCATCCTGTTCATTCCTAGGCACTGGGACCCAGAGCTGGATCATTGAGACCATCTGAGGCTCAGTGCCACATCAGCCATTGATATCCTGGCGTTCCTCTGACTCCCTACTCCCCCCATCCCCAAAATAAGTTGCAGCACTGACAGCCACCATCATACCCACACATTCTTTCACTTTGCTCATCCCAGCTGCTTTGGCCAGAACTACAGTCCCGATTCCCACTTCCTAGCTCTCGTAGAGAGCCTTACTTTTCAGCAGCACCCTTCTGGGGGCTCCAAGGCTCAGTGCAGCTGCATCCAGCCCCAGGCCACAGGAAATGCGTTAGCCTCTTGCTGCCCTGTCCACAGAACCCCTCAGCTGGTCCTAATGGTGGGAAGCAGCTGCTTAGAGAAGAGCCAGTGGCCCAGCAGTAGCTCCAGCACCTCAAAGGCTACTAGGTAATGTTAATCTGGCCACTAAGGGAAGAGCTGGGGTTGTGCAGGGCCAGGACTAGGCAGGCTCACTCTCAGGTGGACAAGAGCTGTGTGTCCGGTTTGTGGTTTTGGTTATGAGAAGGCCAGGAGATGGAGTGGGCATTGAAGGATGCATTAGAAATTTAGATTCAAGAGTCTGAAGAGTCATATGCTGTTCTCTAGGTGTCTGGCTTATATTTCTGGTCCTCTCAGTTCCTTCCTCACCTCCCACCCGAGAGGCTCCGAGGCTGCAGGGGAAACTCCCTAGGAATCCAGCACTCCCGGGAGTTAGGTCCAGAAGCAAGGCAAAGGCTTCTGAGATGACAGTGCACAGAGGGCTGGGTGGGGGAAAGAAGTTAGGACCATAGAGTACAACCAAGACCAGAGGCGGCCACTGCAGATGCAGATTCAGGACTGCTGCGTGTGAAAGCCTTGGCTTCAGCTTCTCACAAGCCTCATGTGGGCTGGGGAGACAAGTGAGAGGACGATGGTCTCTAGGTCCTGACCATCCTGATTCTCCTTCCTGAGTACGGGCCCACAGGTGGCAAGAGCAGTGAAGTACCATGGGCAGGGAAGCTGTGGCTCAGTGGCACTGACCAGCCAGAGACACCCCAGAGCCCCTCATCCCTGGCCTTCCACCACTCCCAGGGATGATGGGAAGGACTAGTAGAAAGCCTGGCAATCATCTCCAGCCCCAGGTTTTCAACAGGGGGAACAGAGCCAAAACCACCCTGAGGACCCCCCCAAAAAAGATGGAAAGAAGAGAAGCAAGATGGTGTTCAGCTTTCCAACCCAGCTCATGGAGCTTTATTTGGATGAGAATGACGAGACCCTGCTTGGCTCTCACTGGCCTTTAAGGGACAGGCCCTGTTGGGTCCAATTCCCTAGAAACCCAGTGCCCACAGCTCTCCTATGTTCTCCAAAACTCCCAGGACCAAGGCTGAGCTCAGTCTGGAAGCCCCTTTTAGAATCTGTAGTAGACACCTAGGCCTTGTCCTTCTTCCCACCCACCTACCCTTCCTGTTGAGCAGTGCAGAAGAGCCCAGGAAAGCAGCTCACACAGAGATATCTCCTGGGCTGGGAATCCCCTGCTTCAAGGATAAAGTCACTGTCTGCTGACAGGGACAGACAGATATCTGGGACAGCCAGCCCTGCTATGCACGTACATGTATGCACACACACACACACAAATTCTCCCGCAGGCTTTCAGAAAGGAAGTGATACAGTAGAGTGGCCTTTGGCACGTCATCACTTTCAGGTCAAAGGATCCGCTTGCACAAGAAGCTCTGTCATTGTTGCTAAAAGCTGTGCCCTCCACCCAACTATATATAGAAGGCCTCTATTTCTGGCTGACCCCAGTCCTGCTCAGGGGTGGATTTTCCATGCTGATGATTCTTCCAGTTGTCCCAAACACATCGAAGTTCCAGGACCTCCCTTGTTGAAAAAGTCACTGATGAAGCTTCCAGTGCCTTGCCCGGCCCTTAGCTCCTGGACAGTGTCTGCTGAGGAGGCAGAGCTAGACACAACATGTCCTATACCCCAGATGGGGCAGGAGGGAAGACATCTTCCCGCTCAATGCTCATCTGAGCCACCAGTCTGAGCTCTTCAGCTTTTCCAAACTGAGTGGCCCAAGCTTGAGCCCGGCAGATGGAAAGGAAGCAGAGTGGATGTACTGAGGTCCTCAGCCACTGAGAATCCACCAGTGCTCTCACCCAAAGGTGCAAAGGCTCCTTTAAACCAAAAATGTCATGGCTCTACTCCCAACCTGCTCAGGCAGGGTGAGGCCTAGAGGGGGGCAACTCCTGTATTCCACAATAAAAAAAGTTTTTTCTTTAAATATATTCATCAAAATAGTTTTCTTTTAAAAAGCCCCCCACTGCTGACAGCCCCACTGGCTGGCTCTCCATCATATCCCTCCCCAGGCCAGACACAGCCAGGGGGGTCCTGAGTGGCCCAAGCACCCTTTGAGTCTTTCCCACCCAGGAGGTCTTTGTAGGCAGGGGAGAGAGCGCCCTGAGGTCCGTAGTGGGTGGGGTGGGTTCTCCACTGGTGCAATGTCCAACTACTCCAGGCCCAGGATGTAGTTGATACCCTGCACGAGGCCAATGATGACAGGCTGCCAGGCTACCAAGTATCGAAGCCAATCCAGCAGCTGCCCATACATGACGTGAGGCCTCTCCCAGCTGTCAAGGTGTTAAGGATCAGAGGCGATGTGCAAAAGCTGTTGGGTCTGTCTAGCGCTGAGGAGAGGGTTCCCAGTCCCTCCTGGGTCTGCCCACACTTTCCGGCTGCTCAACAGCCTCTCTGCAGCATTCCATGGGGAGTGAAGGGCTGAACCCTGAGAATGGGGGAAGGGAGACAGAGGGCACTGCTGCAACAGATTCACTCAAGAGGTGAGAGAGCTCTCACCCACCTGCATGCACACAGGGGCTCATGTGGCACTTTCTCTAAATGGGCCACCAAGTGTGAGACACAGCTTGGAATTTAGGTTCCCTATAACATACCCATCTTTACAAGGGCTGCAAGGAGGCTAAGAGTAAATGAGATAACTCTAAAGGGTCTTATGTCCAAAACTGATGCTTTTCTGTCTAGAAAGGGGTTGATGTAGAGTCAGAGCCAAAACAATGGGGTTAATGACAAGGGAATCACCTCGGCAAAGGGGATGCCATCTAGAGCGCTAAGCACCAGGTCCTACTGAGGTCCAGCGGCCTTGGAGCTGAATGCCTTTCCTTTTGCTCTACATCAGAATGCTGGGCAAGGGATCTGGAGGGGGCCTAGGGACCCCATCTCTGAGGAAAGCACAGGGACAAGCCCCCAAAACTTGGGTGACCCTTCCAGGGCATCTAAAAGATCAGCCTGGCCCAGTTCTCTGAGAGCTAACTGAAGCCCAAGTCTCAGCTTGGCCACAGAATTACAATTGTCCTTGAATCAAGCCCTAAAGGAATGAATGAAGCGGGAAATCTGAAAGAGCAGAAGCCAGAATGTCCTCTTTGGGGATGTGGGAGAGTACTGGGAACACAATGTCTCCTGTACAGCCCAGCTAGTGTACAGAGAAAAAAGAATTGTGCAGCTTGAAAAGCAGACAGGGGGAACACTGGGTCCTGGAGCTCACAGAAAGTGAAGGCGGGGCCAGAGAAGTGGCTGGGCACTTTCTAACAGTCAGGTATGAGGACGAAGGGAATGGTGCGGGCTGGCTGGGCAGGAAGTGGTGCCCAGAGGAGCATAGTTCTGCACTTGAAAGTGGATGGAGCAGGGGTCTCTCATCTCTGCCTATGCCTTACAGGCTCTGCTCATGCAGAGCTGATCTCTTGCTGCATGTCATGGGTAACATAGCACCCATTAGTTAAGTAACCTTAAATAAGCTTCCCAAACTCTAAACTGTTTCATCTATAAAGCAAAGGTATTATCCACATCCTAAAGGGAATCAAATGAGCTACTGTAAGTGAAGTGCTTAGCACAGTGCCAGCCACAAGCAGTAAGTAAATAGTAAGCGGTAGCTGCTATTCCTATCAATTTAGGACAGGAAGTTGAGCTGGTAGTCCTCACCATGTCACACAGTAACTTCCCTAGAACAGAAGCCAAACTAAATGTAAGACATGTTACATGTTGGGAGTGAGAGGGCCCTGAAAGCCCCAGACACAGAGTCTCCCTGGCCAGTTTTTTCCCACCACCCACTCCAAACAATGACTTAGACCAAGGATACGGATTGCTGAACATCCTCTTCAGGTCTACTTTCTCTTTGCAGTAGGGACATGTCTGCTTCTTCCCCACAATGCACCAGCCACGGATACAGAATTCGTGGAATCTGAGCACCATGCGTCAAGGGAAATGGCATCAAGGGAAATAACGGGAAGCAAGGGTACAGCTCCACCCCCATGCTGATTTGCAAGGTACATGTGGGGCAGCTCTGGAGAGAGGTTCAAATCCTGGCTTCATTTCTTATCAACCTTGTAATTTTGGGCAAATCTCTTTACTCAGAACCTGTTTCTTCACCTGTGAAGTGAGGATAATGATTTGTTAACAGGGCAAAATGGAGTTAACACTTGGCTCTCCCGACACAGGCCTGGAATGGGATCTGAGTAAATACATGATAAATTATAGAAGCACTGCTCAGAATAGGGGATTTGAATCTCAATTGAGGGAATCCACTAAAGAACCCTTTTCCCCTGTGACATCCACTTTTGGTCAGGTAGCACAGCCGTGCCAGCTGCAGCCTCCAGTTCTCTTTGACCGAGGCGATTTATGACCACTATTTACACAAGAGGGCTTGTGCTGTGAGGACAGGTGCAGAAGGCTGCACCTTCCATTTTCATGTGGCTCTCTTTCACTCAAAGGTCTGGATGGCATGTCTAGGGTCACAACCAACCCTACCCCTCCTTGATCAGAGGTGTCTGCAGGAGGGACGTGGCCAAGGTGCTGGAAGCAGGATACACATGATTGCAGGACAGCCTGTACGTGTTCTCAATGATGCCCTCTTCACTGACGTCCACAAGGATCTGCTGTCCGCACACGGCACACACGCTGTCGGAAAGGTGCTTGGTAGGCATGCCTGACTCACTGTAGAACTGGGGGAGAACAGAAGCAAAACACAAGAAAAGCTGTGAGAACTGCTCAAGTGGGGAGGCATCAGAGAGGCCTGGAGTCTTGTGGAGGACACACAGTGGCAGGGGGAGTTAGAGGACATCTTTTGTAAGACCAGTAAAATTCATCTTTACTGGGTAAACAGGGAGAAAGGGGCAGACAGAGACAAGTTGGGAAGTTAGATGTAACGGGATCTGAAGCCAGGTTGCATCAGCCCATGTGCAAAAGGAAAGGAAAGCAGAACTCCTTGGAACCAATATTTAGGAGCTTTCCCATACAAGCCATTCTGTGGCCAAACTATGTACGTTTCCATCAGATGTGGACAATATCATTCTCCAGAACATTTAAAACAGTGAAAAACTAACAGTGATGTTGGTCTGGTGACAAGGGCATTTTCAAGCACTTGTGGAGGAAGCAGAGGAAGTCTTATTTTTTGGGTTCTTTTTGTTTTTTGTCTTTTTGAGACAGGGTCTTGCTATGCAGTTCAGGCTGGCCTTGAGCTCACTTTGTAGCTCAGGATGGTCTCGAACTCACAACATTCCTCCTGCCTCAGCCCCCCAACTGCTGGGAAGTTCAACCCTTTTGGATAACATTTGCCAGGATGTCTCAAACTGCCACACCCTTTATAGCCCATTAATTTCACTGCAAAGAATTTTAAAAAATAAATAGAAATGTCAAAAATGGTTTCTGTAAACACATTCATTTAACCATTATTTATAATTAAAGAAAAAGAGGGTTTTACAGAATTATCATATCCCAGGTTTATACCTAGAATTCCATTCTTAGGTTATATCAAAAAGATGTGAAAACGAGAACTAAACAGATACGTAAATGCCAATGCTAACAGTAAAGGGGTAGGTAGAGTGCTTGTCTACTATGAACCAGGCCCAGTACTGAAAACAATGAAGGACCAGAAGAAGCAAGGTGCTGGGTTTAATAACTAGCACTACAAAAACAAAGTAAGTGACCAAGAAGCCAATCCCCTTCTGTGAGCCAGAGGCAGCCACGTAGGCCAGGAGGAGAAAGAACCCAGAAGCCAACTCCCCCTGCCTTCTCCAAGCCAGCTGGTGCACAGACTGGGAGACAAAAAAGAGCTGATCCCCCCCACCCCCCCAACACACACACCAAGCAACATGCTGACTGGGAGGAACACAGGCTGAGATGATAGCTACTGAAATAAACAACTTGATGTTTGTATTGCTTGATTGACTTTGCAGGCCTAAAGCTGGCAGTCTGAGCATCTATTTAAAGATAACAGTATGCAATATAGCAACTATAGGGGCTTTTCTTGTCTTTTTTTGAAATCCAATATTGTTCTGTTTTGTCTGGTTCCATTTTGTTTGTATTTCCTTTAAAATAAAAAAAAGCAAACAAACAAAATTAAATATTAAGAGTAGAGTAGAAAATTAAGAGATGCGTAAAGATGAGGCCAAAGCTGTATAAAGAGAAGATCAGCAAGAACTATGTCAGAATTGTTACACTAGTGTTCTTTTTTTTTTTTTTTTTGAGATAGGGTCTTGCTATGATCTGGCCTTGAACTCACTATGTAGCCCAGGCTGGCTTCAAATCTGTAATCCTCCTGCTTCAATCTCCCAGATACTGGGATTACAGGCATGTGCCACCATGCCCAGCTACAATTTTTTTTCTTTTACATAAGAATTGCTGTGTAGTTCAGTTTGACCTTGAACTCGCTATGTAGCCCAGGCTAGTCTCAAACGTGCAAAACTTCTCTTGCCTTAGCGTCCTGAATGCTGGGATTACAGGGGCGTGCTACCATATCCAACTTATAATGAATTTTTAAAAGCCTCCTGCACCTTACAGTTTTCCTGTACCTGCAAGGTAGACTACTTATATTTAGTCCTTTTACATTTTCTTAATTTGGGTTTACTGTATGTGTGTGTGTGGGGGGGGTGACTTCTTGTTTTATTTCTAAGCAAAACCCTTCTTTAAAAAAGCTAAAGCTGAACTTGGTTCACAACTGGGGACAGCAGCGCAGGAAGGAAGCACTCACACTCGAGACTAGGAGTAGGAGAGTAAAACTGAGAGCCTCAGAGCAGATGAAGCTGTACCTGCCAGGACCTCCCCTCCTCCCACCAAGCTGCCCTCCGAGGAGTGGCTTCTCAGCCATCAGAATGCCACCCAGGGTGTGGAGTCTGATCTCACTCCTCTACTGCAAGACCCTGTTGCCATGGCCCCTCTTGAATAAAGTCTGCCTTACCCTTCTTAAAAAACAAGCAGGAACAGAAACAAGTCGGGCATGGCAGTGCGTGCCTGTAATCCCAGCGCACAGGGGTTGAATACAAGCATTGCAAGTTTGAGGCCACACACAGAAACAAAAATTCATGCCTGATTCCCAGAGTCATCAAGAGTAAAAAGCAGAGATTTCACATTGGCCTGAAATTCCACAAATAGAGCTCTCTGCCTTTACCTGCTTAAAAAACTGAAAGGACCTCAAGGTGAGCTCACTTATATGACAGCACTCTCACTGGGAAAACCAAAGCCCAGAAAAGGAAAGAACCCAGACTCTGAGTGCCACCACCAGCCCACTGGCCAAAGCTCCCCATGAACATTTGCTGAAGCTGCAGAAATCAGCCACTCTGTTCCCTGAAAGCCAGTTAGCTATAAGGTTCTGATTTGTTTTTCAAAAGTGCAAAAGGCTATTGAAAAAGACAGCTAGAGTCAGAAGGTAGGGCCCAGACCTGTGCAGGACCTCTCCTAAACTACAATCTTAGCATGGCAGCCTTGCGGGACCCATCATTACAGAGTTCAACAGACCTGAGGCCTTGTCCTTGGTCCTCTGGACAGCTAGGTGACAGAGCTGATTTACCCCCAGGAAACTCTCACTACCATCACCTAAGAATGGAAGTTGTGACTCCTGAGAAAAGAGCCTCTCTTGGCCCAGGAATGTGACAGGCGCTCAGCATGTGTCTGCTTGCAGATGCACTTGCCCGCACTTCCTGGGTGAATGAATGAGTACATGGGGCAGGGAGAGAAAGGTTCAAGGATGGCTTTTCTGGACTGGGTCGCGGCTTAGGGTTCCTAGGTGTATCAGCTGAACAGACGGAAGGGTCAGGGTCAGGGTCAGGGTCAGCTCCCTGGATAATCGTGAAGCACAGGAGCAGGGGGTCTCACTCTGGCCCACGGCACCAGCAGTGAAAAGACTGGGATCACCTCAACTTAGGAGCTGGGCTGGAGCTCTGAGAAACGGCTTTGCCTCCATTCGTGCCCGAGTGCTGCCCCTAGGACGGTGGGACAAAGGGTGCAAGATCAGAGGGGACTTGGATGACGCAATGAAAATGTCTGTTAGGACTCTGGTTTCCAGAACATGGCTCCCTCAACCCCCAAGGCCAGTGTGACAACAGGCAGGCAGGCAGGGTTAAAGCCCACAAGATCACCCGCTCAGCCTGGCAGGTTAGTGAGTCCCCTGCAACCCCAAGGTCACAGAAACCACATAGGAAGCCATGAATCAAGAGACACTGAGGTCAAATTGGGCAAAGTAAAGGGAGACAGACTTCTTTTAAATCAAGAGCCTGATCCTTCAGTAGAAAGGGCTCAAGTGTCTACATGGTAAATCAGAATTAGATCTAATTTCAACCGTCTGTAATTTACTATCTTGGTGACTTATACAAACCTTTTAAACTCTTTCACTAAAATTTATTGAACATTTATAAAGTGCTGGTCACTGGACTTAAGTTCTTAGGATATAATACTGGAAAAACAGGCCAGTCTCTACCCTTATAGATCCTACAGCCAGAAGGGATTAACATTATTTTTAACTATCTTAACTAGTTTTTATATACACACACACACAATGTTGTTTCAGCTTCTCACACTAGTGAGACAATACAATGTTTACACGTGTGTCTTATTAATTTCACTTATGAGTATGGTCTCAAGTTGTATCCATTTACCTATAAAAATCTCTAGTTTATTCTTCTTTACAGATGAATAGTACTCCATTATATAAAAATACCACATCTTTTTTATCCATTCCTGTTAATGGATTTAGGTTGTTTCCAAGGTCTGGCTATTACAAATTATGCCATTATAAACATGGGTGCACATATATCACTTGGGTATGACATTTTTTAATTCTTTTGGGAAGATACCCAGAAGGGGAACTGCTGGGTCAAATGAGACCTTTAGTCTTAGTTTTTTGAGGAAACTCCACACTGATTTCCAGTGTTTGCAACAGTCTATATTCTCACAAACAGTGGAGAAGGGCTCCTTTTCCCCACAGCTCCTCCAGTATTTGTTACTGGTTGATTTCTTGATGTTAGCCATTTTTCTGGGGTGAGGTAAAATCTCAGTGCTGTTTTAATTTGCATCTCATGAGTGATCAGTAATGTTGAATATTTTTCACATATTTCTTTGCTGTTTGTTTTTCTTCATCTGAGAAGTGTGTGTTCATCTCAGATGCTCAATTTTGGATTGGGTTTTTAAATCAGGGAAGACTGATTTTTTTTTTTTAAGTTCTTTATATGTCCTCAATAGTAATTCTTTGTCTGAGGTTCAGCTGGCAAACATTTTCTCCCATATTATGGATTATCTCTTCTGTTGGTGGTTTCTCTTGCTGAGCAAAAGCTTTTCAATAGGGGAAGATCCCAGTTGTTGATTCTTTGTGATAGTTCTGTGCGATGAGGGTTTTTTTTCATAAAGTCTTTGCCTGCACCAATGTCTTCAAGAGTTCTACCTATGCTATCATCCAGCACATTTAACGTTTTTGTTTGAATATTAAGATTTTTGATCCATTCTGATTTTAGCTTAGTGCATGGTGAAAAATAAGAGTCCACTTTAATCTTCAGCATTTGTAGAGGCAGTTTTTCGAGCACCATTTATTAAAGAGGCTGTCTTTCTAAAAAGGACTAACATTTAAAATAAGTATTTAACCAAGGAGTGATGGTGGAACATGCCTGTAACCTGAGCACTCTAGGAGGCTGAGGCAAGAGGACTTCATGTTCAAGCGCAGCCCCGGCAACCCAGC